CACAGATCTAGTCCAACCAACCCTACTGGGCTAGCTAGTGAGTGTCTCAGGGACCGGTAGAAATCCTTCACAAGACTTTTTTTTCTTTCTCTCCCAACTGCCTAGCCTCGGGCAAGTACCAGCAAACCAGTTAGTTAAATGACTCATTGACTTGCTAATGCGATTTCTCCTGGGCTGGTTAAAGGAGACAATCAAAAGAGATACCCCCAGGGAGAGAGAAAACAAGCTTGACAAAATGTTGATGCTTGTTGAAGCTGCCAGGTAATCGGCTGGGCTGGGGGTTCATTATGATGGTCTCCAGCTTTTGTAGGTATTTGAAAATGTCCTTAATAAAGAGAAATTTAAAAATTAAATACCAGAAAAAGAGATACCTCTATGGACTCAAGCCAAATGAAAGAGCTACAGTATTTTCTTACTTCTGAGGTCCTGCCTGTTGACAGTGCCAACATTTTGTTACTTTCTGTCATTTCAACAACTGTTTACGGAACACCAACCTACCAGACACCAAGCACTGAGCTGAACACTGGGGCTACAGTGATAAACACCATTGGTCTCTGCTCTCCACACTTGTAGGGTTGAGTGGGGTCTAAGAAGCAAAGCCAGGGACCTGGCCCATAGCCAAGCAGCTAAGCCCTGCGTGTACGGAGCTGCATCCCACATGGCCACCATGGCTGGAATCCCAGTCTCAATGGCTTGAAAAACACACCAGAAGTGTGTGCACATGTGCCCCAAATCCTGAAAGGGTGGAAAATGGAGGAGAAAGAGTTGTGGCATGACCACACCCCATTGGAGCTGCTTTCTCGGTCTCTCTCTCTCTCTGATGTCCCTGGTGAGCACATGTGCCCTCTGGCAATTTTTTCTTAAAGGCAATGACAGCCAAGTCTCCCCCTACTCTGATCCAATCCAAGTGCTGGGGGGAGCGCATAGGGGTCAGGTGGGGGGTTTCTCCGTGGCCAGAGGTGAAACGACAGTGGTCTGGGACAGCAATCAATATATTCAGTATTCCTACATTCCTGTAGGAGACCAGGGATGAGGTTCATCACACAGGGTAGGTGATACCCTGAGACTGGCAGGAGCTACTGAAGGGTTTTAAGGAGGTAAGTGACAAGTGATCAGACAGGAATGGCTGGAACTAGTGTGGGAAAGTTATATTCTGGTAATATTTAAGGGATATAGGTACAGGAACTGGTAGATAACCCAGGGCTGAGAAGGGGCTATCAAGAGGAATCCCTTACAAAGGGAAGAGGCCAGCTTGTAGGAGTCACCAGTTATTGGTCAGACAATCTTACAGGCTCCTGAGGCTTCAAGAACAGAATAGTGCAGTAGAGGCTGATGTGGAATTCAGAGTGCAGTTTCCATCAGATGGTCCCCACTGCTCCTTAACTCTCAGCATGACTCAAGCAGGCTGGGACCGCTGGAACTGCTCCCACCAGGTTTGCTAGGACAGCAAGCAGTGCTTCCTCTGGGGTCTTCCTCGGCTAATCCTTGGCCTAGACTTAAATTTCTCCAAGTGGACTCTGGATGTGTCATCCTCGGGGACCGCTAGTTCTCCATAAGGTCACACTGGCTTTGTGTTTCCATGGTGGTCACAAGTAGGAGCATCGTGGCCTATGGCGACCCAGATTTACTCAAATCCAGAGTCAGCGCCTTTGTCATACTACACACCACCGCCAAGTCAGCAAATACCAGCCACCATTTTAAATTAATACAGTTAGATGGAATTTCATTGTTTTTATATTTATCTACTTAGGAAAACTATTTGGTTTTACAGTTGTGTATAAGAGCAAAAAAAGTTTTTTTTAACCCGGTTTTATGTTTGTACATACTTAAGTGATGTGGTAATAAAAATGATTCAAGTTAACATTGTGGGAGGAGGCAGATCTATGAAAAAAACATTTTCTTTAAAAGGAGCTGGTATGTATCTCAGACTTAAGAAACAGTGTCCCTTACAAAAAAGGAATTCCAATAGAGGATCACAATGGTTTAACAGGACAGGGATGGGTGCACTGGGAATACACAGAGTGGCACAAAGTCTAGGCTGCAGTCCAAGAGTGCTTTCATGAGAAAGCGATGGTAAATGGAGTGAGTCAGGTAAGGAAAGGTGCCCGCTGCCCCTCACTGGCTGCTGAAAACCAAGGGAGAAGGCCTAGAAAGCCTGAGGGCTCAAGGGTCAGGACTGGGAAGAACTGAGCGATGGGGCTGGTGAGCTCCTGAATCTGGACTCAATCCTGAGGAGAGTAGAGTCCATGGAGAGTGTGACAAGGTCAGATTGTGCGTCTGTGATCAAAAGAATGGACAGAAGGAACAAGGCTGCGGGCACAGGGGCGCCCTAGGCTTTCTGCCCATGCAGTTCCCTACCCTGTACACTTGAGGCCACCTCTTCTGGGAAGCTGCTTGAGATCCAGTCATACCCTGCCCTGCAATGGCCTGCTGCCGCCTTTGGTCCCAGCAGCTATCAGCCACTTTTGCAAATATCAGTAGCCAAGTAAGTGCCACTACCCCACCCCAGATCACACATCCTTGCCTTCTTTTAAAATTTGCCAGAGAATATGTACATTTGCTGGAGAGACAGAGAGGGAAAGTGTCCCCATGAGGAATGGTCATGCCATGATCCCTTCTCCACCTCTCCTTCCTTTCAAGATTTGGGCACACATACACCCATACCCAGCATATTTTTCAAGCCTCCAGGTCCAGGACTCTAATGGCACTGTCAGCCATATAGGATCCAGCTGTCTTGGGACCAGCAGTTGGCGTAATGGCTATGTCGTTGGACTCCCCTGTAGTTGACTGGGGTTTGAGTACCGGACCCAGTGGCTTAAACTCACGCCAGATGCATGAGCGCGCATGCCCC